ACGTCATGGCTGAGCTTTACAAGAGGAACATATGGTGGGTTTCATATAAGATCCGTGAAACCCGGACGTTCCTTGTGAATTGCTGTGTCTCATAACCTGATTGTATTCCTACTCAGGAATGATGCCAAAACGGTTAACGTCATTACAACGGCATGCTTCTCCAAGGTGACAAAGGTAGGCTTTTCATTTAGGGGCAAGGAATACATTTCACAATCTGTACCGAGAAATAAATAAACATGACGTGCCTCTCCGCTAGATTATTGTCGGAGGCCTAAAGTTCTTCCTGGGCAAAGACGAAGATGAAAAAAACGAGAGCGATTCGGAATCCGAGGCAAGTTTGACGCACGAGGTGGTCACCTGTGCAGGTGAGACCGTCTCTGAAGCCTCAAAGTAAAAAAAAAAAAAAAATCTTTTTTTTTTTTTTTTTTTTTTTTTTAGAACGAAGGTACATCTGCAAGAGACCTGATGGTGAAATACTCGACAGGCAAAAAAAACACCAAAAACAAGAAGAAGCTGGAAAAAGCGATGAAAGTCCTCAAGGTAGCAGTGTCGTGAAAACACAGAAGCACGTATTATATCTGTGCTCTTCAGTCGGGACAATCCTCATTCAAAATACTCAGCATTGATGTGCACCTCGTGTACTATGCAACTATGAGTGCTTCCATTTTAAGTTGGAATAAACACAGGGGTGTCCTAATTTAATCCTGACCACAAACATGCGTTTCATTTACACATGTTGTTGCCGTTTGACTGTTAATTTGGTGTCATTTTTTATGTCCCTGCAGAAACATAAGAAAAAGAAGAAGCCCGAAGTCTTCAATTTTTCGGCGATCCACCTCATTCACGATCCTCAAGGTACGCTCGCCTACTGTCTCTGCACTCTTATGCACTGATTGGCGTTCTAGTTTACCGAGCGGCTAACCATCAAGTCAATCTTTTGATCAAGATTTCTCAGAGAAGCTCTTGAAGCAGCTGGAAAGCTCCAAGGAGCGCTTTGAGGTGAAGATTATGATGATGGAGCTCATCTCTCGTCTGGTCGGAATCCATGAGGTCGGTTTCGTTTTCGATTCAGCGCGTCTCCGACATCTTATGAAATGACAAATATCAGTGTAATCACTTTTGCTGTTTGGCTTCTGCAGCTCTTCCTCTTCAATTTCTACCCCTTCATCCAGAGGTTTCTGCAGCCGCATCAGAGGGGTAAGTGTCGCTCGGTGTCAAGCTGCGCTTCGTTTTTCGGGGATTTTTCGTAACGGTGCGCTGCGGTCTCTGCAGAGGTTACAAAGATTCTGCTGTGTGCTGCCCAGGCTTCGCACCAGCTGGTTCCACCTGAGGTACGTCCTAATCTCACGCTGCGATTTACAAAGATTACACATCAGGGTGTGAGATTGTTTGTGTGTGCTGCTTCCTGCAGGTCATTGAGCCTATGATCATGACTATCGCCAACAACTTTGTGACAGACAGGAACTCTGGGGAGGTCATGACTGTCGGGTAAGAAGTTAATAAATGCTCAAATAATGTCCTTTTTCACCTCTTTGTGGACAACTCTGTTAAACTGTTAGGTTTTTGTGATGCAAAAAATAAAATGAATAAATAAAATTAGACGATGTTTAGTCTAATTTCCTCCATATTTATATTTACGTATTTCCTGAACAGTTAGCTAAGTCATAACTAATCCTAAAGGGAAAAATAATTTTAGTTGTTTGGTTTTAGCTTTAAGTATGCACCCCTTAAAGTAAAAGTATGTATGTTATATATATATATATATATATATATATATATATATATATATATATATATATATATTTTTTTTTTTTTTTACATATGAGACAGATAATCTGTGAAAAGATTAAGTCCTCTGCCTTCTCCCAGTTCTCCCAGTGCTGTCTAGAAGCAACCAATGAGGTCTTAGCGATGTCAGTCATCTCTGATATGCTTTGCCATAGTTTTAATTTAAGGATGCACACAGTAATGCACCAAGCTTATTGACACATTTGAGAGATGGATCATATTTGCACTTTTTAGCATCAACGCCATCAGAGAGGTGGCAGGCCGCTGCCCTCTCGCCATCAATGAGGATCTGCTGCAGGACTTGGCTCAGTACAAGACCCACAAGGACAAGAGTGAGCAGATTTTCTTCTATTTATTTATGAAATTGTTTTGTTTTGTTTTTTTTAATACAATTTCCTATTCTATTCACACTGTCTTATGCTGCATTTTCAGATGTAATGATGTCTGCCAGAGGATTGATTCAACTGTTCAGAAATCTCAATCCACAGTTGCTGCACAAAAAGGACAGGGTGAGCTCATTAAGTGTGTCAAACCCTGACGCTCATTAGCCCAATACAGTGTACTCAGTAAGGAACAAGAGGGACAACACAACATCACATTGAATTTATAATGCATGCTAAAAAAAAAAATAAGTTGGAAAACTTGTTCCATTGCTGCTTTTTCAGCTCTTAGCCCTAAAAATAAGTTGAGTATCTATAACAAAATCAAATCTGTTGTGTAGGGGAGGCCAACAGAAGCCTCCACAGAGGCCAAAATAAAAGACTATGGAGAGCTTGAGGCTAAAGACTACATTCCCGGAGCTGAGGTCCTGGAGGTGGAGGAGGAAAACAAAGAGGAAGAGGAAGGTCAGCTGCTGTTGCACTCAGGAACTAGTGGTTAATATAGAAATGGCATCCAGTGTTGTCCTGCACACGCTTGAGAGATTTTTGATTTTACCGGCGATGTTGTTCCCTACAATTCATCAGATGGTTGGGAGAGCGCTAGCATCAGTGACGACGACGAGGACGGAGAGTGGGTTGACGTTCACCACTCATCTGATGAAGACGCAGGAGAAGTGGTGAGAAGTGGGACACACAACCAGTCAGGCTGCAGAAACCTGGCGATTTGAATTCATTTTAAGCACTTCCGACATTTCTCCAAGGCTGAGAAACTCCAGAGTATTCCGGCTGAAGAGAGAAAAGTGAAGGCAGCGGCGGTCAGCGGCAGCCGGCTCCTCACTCAGGACGACTTCAAGAAAATCCGCCTGGCCCAAATGGCAAAGGAGGTCAACGCTGCTCCAGGGAAGGGTCAGAAGAGGAAAATGGCAGACAGTGACAATGAAGAGGATAAGTGAGTAACACAAAGCAGAACAATATTTAAGTTCTGCCTTTTAAAATTTTGTATCTGACTTAAAATCGTTTTTGTTTTTTGACCTTCTGATAACAGATTTTAACCTAGTTCTGTTCAAGAATCTCAATAATATACAAAGAAAAAAACAGCATTCAACAGAGTTCTGTCTAACCTTCTTACTTTGAGTCTTGATCCGTTTTGTTTTTTTTTTTTTTATATATATATTAGGATTTTATATTCACACTGTGAGAAAACCATTACTGTAAAGCAGGGTTTTATAATAATCTATAAAATGATCTTGATTTTACGTATTGAAGAAAAAAATATTATTTTAGAGTTTATCATCTGTTTGCTGTTAACATGTGGATTTACTAACCTAGCTTTGTTTTTTTTTGTTTTTTTGTTTCTTTTTGCAGCTCAGAAAACAACAGAGCAAAAATATTGAAATATTTTTTTTTTCTCTTTTTCGTCAACATTTCAGAGGGGAGCTGCTGACGCTGAGACACATCGAGAAACTGCACAAAAAACCAAAATCAGACAAAGAAACCCGACTTGCAACAGCCATGGTAACGTCTTACGCCTGCTTTCAAATTTTACACCGAATCCGGAGTAACTGGATTACTCCGGATTCAATAAGCAGTTATCGATGACCACTAAAGGTACGTTTGCTGTCTAGGCCGGACGAACGGATCGAAAGGAATTTATGAAGAAGCGGACCAAGCTGAACCCGCATGCCAGCACCAGCAACAAGGAAAAGAGGAGGAAGAAGAACTTCATGATGATGAGACACAGTCAGAACGTCAGAACAAAAGGCAAACGCTCCTTCAGAGAGAAACAGGTAGCTCAAAATATATATAATTTTTTATTTCACTATGGCTAAATCACCTGTTTTGGCTGGAAGGAGAGAAATATTTTGACTTTTGGAATTGCAATTATTATTATTTTTTTTTTTTCATCCAGCTCGCGCTTCAGGCCGCCCTCCTGAAGAAGAAGAAGCAGTACAAGTAGGACAAGCAGGAGGCGCTCATGCTGGCTCCGACGGCCATCACAGAAATGTACCTTCGACTGGGTCAAATAATATCCGTTAAATGGCATGTTAACTTTCTATTTTCATGTATTTGTGTGCAAATGTACATTATCTTACACTCTTTTGAAATAAATAACCAAATTGCTGTTGATGTTTTGTGACTTAATTTTTTGAACATCCCAAATTGTAATTATAAAGAAAAAGTTTTTGCAAAGATGTTACATGTACAGAAACAGTAATGATTGTTGCTTCCTTCAGTTTCCTCCTTTTCATGCGAGTGTAAGTCAGGTTAGTTTCGTGACCTCGTTTCAGGTTTCCTCATTTTTACAATTGCTTGCAGGAATTTGCAGACACAACTCAGATATACTGTAAAGACTTATGCCAAGGTGCAAAAATGTTAATGTGTAATTTTATGAGACTTTATTGCACAAGTCAACTATGTATGTAATTACATTTTAACTTTGGGTCTTAGTGCTCTGTACAGGAAGTCCTGTTAGGCAGACTGAGTTATTTAAATGTCAGGATGAACTACTGACAGAATATAACTGGTACTCTGGTTCAAAGTTGAATTTAGCATTGTTTTATCCACTGATTTCTCAGTGATACCAATTTTGTTTTATATTTCAGAGAGAAACTTAACAATGACAAATTACTTTGGGATTTGGAGATATTCATGGTCCAATAAAATTCAATGAGTTAAAATAAAATGCCTTCAATAAAATTTCAAATGATTATTTTTACTATACTAATTGTCTTGTTAAGCCTTTTTGTGAAATCGGGGGAGGACAGGGAAATCTGAGAAAATACAGTAGCCTTCATAAATCTGAGTCTGGGTAAATGTCTAGTCTGCTACAGATGTCATTTTCTGAACTACAATACCCATGAAGCACTTGCGGTCATAACAGCCGTGCCAAACGTTCCACTCAAAGAAGCCGGCATTTTAAATCGTTCTGCGATATGAGGTATCTAATTTATATATGTTAGATATAACTTAACTTTTTTAGAACAATTTACTGTAATTTCTATCATTGTTCTATGAGTTTTTTGATAAGTCCATGGTTAAATCCTCGCCGTTCCCTGCCAAGCTAGCTGTCATGCCGTTGCTGTTAGCAAACAAGCTAAGTGTCAACATACCGTTAGCCTAGCTAGCTTAATTTATCACGTTAATGATCGTCGAAGCGATTAATTTGATCAGTTGACGAAGAATTACGAAAGCTAATGGTCTAGAAATAGGGCTGTAAACTATGTGGAAACTAGTTTATAACCATACATGACAATCTGTGACGTGCAGTTTAAGCTGTGATTTAATTTTAGCTTTCGTGCCCTGTCTTAACAAACCCTTTATATAGCTGCAGTACCTTTGTATAATATATGATGTATTTTTTCCCCCCATGAGTCTTGAATGACAGTCGGGGTCAGATATGCTAAGGATCTTTTTAATCATATTGATTCTTAACATTTATCACAGCATTGAATAAATGAAACTAAACAGTTTGCTGAATCCCAATGCACACACTAAACATAAATATGAACTTGCAATAGAAGGAAAAACTATAACTGATCCTGCTAAGCTAGCGACAATGTTTAATGATTATTTCCTCTCTTCAGTTAAGGACTTGGCATCAAAGTTTCTGCCAGCTCCAATGGAAACACACGGTACAAAACCGACCAAAAACTGTTCTGATTTCTTTGAGATTAAGGAAATTCATTACTCTGATGTTCAAAATGCCATTGATAGTTTAAGTAACTCTCACGCAAAGGATATGTATAATTTAGACGCTATGTTTTTAAAGAAATATAGTAACATTTTAGTAGAACCTTTAACTCAAATAGTTAACATTTCCATTAGAACAGGGCAATTTCCCGATGCATGGAAAAAATCTTTGGTGAAACCGATTTTTAAATCAGAAAGTCGACATGAAATCAGCAACTACAGGCCAATAAGTCTGGTTCCGGTCATGTCAAAAGTGCTGGAGAAAATTATTTTGGAACAACTAATACTGCATTTAGAAAGTAATGATCTTCTGCATCCGCTTCAGTTTGGTTTCAGACGTCAACATTCTACAGAGACCGCTGTAAGTTTGTTGCTTGAAAAGGTTAAACAATCACTTGACAAGGGACAAATTACTGGTGCAGTTTTTCTTGATTTGAAAAAGGCCTTTGATCCGGTGAATCACAATTTACTGATCTCAAGGCTTTCATCATTTAATTTCTCAGAACGGTCATTGTCTTGGTTTAAATCATATTTGGAAGATCGTGAACAATGTGTTGTCATTAATAACAGCAAATCTGTCTTCTGTAAAATTGTAACAGGGATTCCACAAGGAACCATCTTAGGTCCGGTCCTTTTCAGTTTATATGTTAATAGTCTTCCTGAAATTTGTCCTGAAGTCAATCTGCAAATGTATGCTGATGACACCGTTGTTTATACATTCAGAACAGTCTGCAGATATTATCAACATGGCTAAAGGATTCTTGCTTAACTCTCAATACAACGAAAACAAAGTGTATTTGTTTTTCAATTAAGAAAACATCATTACAGTCCTTGAATATTCAGATCAATGGGGACCCTATTGAACAAGTATCACAAGAGAAATATTTAGGAATAATTCTGGATGCTCAGTTAAATTTTAGGAGCCATGTTGATAAAATCTGCAAAACTGTTAGATCGAATATAAATTATTTTAAAATTATTAGACATTGTTTGACACTTCACTGTGCAGAGATATTTTTAAATTCACTCATCCTCTCACATTTTACCTACCTACTGTCTGGTCTCAGACTAATCAAACTATACTCAAACCACTAGCAAGTCTGTATAATCGGGCCTTAAAGGTTTTATATCAAAAGCCGATTAGATTCCACCACTGTCACATTTTGGTTAAATTTGGCATTTTGGATTTTACAAATTTTCTAAATTATAATGTTTTAAAATTGATTTTTAAGTGTTTAAATGGACTTGCACCAACACTATTAAACGATTGTATGTAGACTGCAGGGCAACAGGAGATCTACCAGAGCAGCTTTGGATGGAAATTGTAAGGTTCCCTTTCGAAGAACCACCTTTGCTCAAAGTGCTCTGTCTGTGAGAGGATCTACAACTTGGAACTCACTTCCTGTTTATTTAAAGTCTGTAACCAGTTTTAGAACGTTCAAAAATCAAACAAAACTCTGGTTATGTCAAAAACAGACATGCACCCATTTTTGATGTTTTACATTTCGCTGTTTGTATATATTATGTTGTGATATTTTAACTGATTATCACTTCAATTTGTAGAGTTACTTTTTAAAAGCCCATCTAGGGACAAGTGCTGCGAATTAGCTGTTGCTATTGCACCATGATGCAAACATGGGACTGCTGTTTTATTCAGTTTGTCTATGTCAATGTGTGTCTGTCCCTATCAAATAAACTTGAAAGAAAGAATATGTCCAATGTAGGACATCTGATACTTCTAGCATACTATTTAGAGGAAAGTGTAGAGCACACAGTCTGTAAACAGATAGGTTTGTTTTAAAATGGGTAAAATTTTATCCATTTTATGAATGTTATTTGTGTCACAAGTTATTGAAAAGATGTGAAAAATATGACTCATCCTTGTCAAAAACAGAAATACTTGTAGCTGGAAAAAGTATGAAAATCAATTTTAGCATTTCCATAAGTCTGGATTGACATGTAAAAAGAAAACATGGAATGGAAAAATATTTGGATTCTTTATCCAAATATTTTTCATCATCCAGGATAAATATTACATTTTTAGAAAATAAGCCCTTTTGTGGATTTAAAATTGTAGATGGAATAGGAGTGCTATATTCATCCAAACATCTGCCAGTGTGTCTTTCCATCTCTTAATGTAAACTCTTCATCATTCCATTCCTGTCTCTCCATCCTTTCCTCCATTTTGCATTTCCAAGTCTCCTCTTGGTGTTTTATACATAATTAGGCAGATTTTAAAAGTGGATGTTGAATTTTTGAATAAATTTGAGCATATGTACAACATGAATTATTATTTTTGTTCGCACAGCAGGAGTCTTTTGGTTACCTGTGAGGCTGAAAAGTAGATGCAGATGTAACTTAATGCCTCAACATGTCGAGGAACTACAAAGTGAAACAGAGTTGATGGAAGTCTTTTGATCCTCAGTTTGTTTGATGGGTCTTGATGTTTTCTGCTCTCATAGCTGAGAGGACTAGTGATGAGGGGTGGTACACTGAGCCTATTCAGAGTCAGGCGTCTAAAGCTTAAAAGATACAGTACAGCTGCCATGAGGTGTGGGTGAAGTTTCCACATTGTGTTTTATTCTCTGACTCTCAATGACGAACAAGTCTTAAATGGTTTTGGCTAAAGGCTAAATAGTGTTTTCATCGGATTTATCAGCAGGTAAGATTTTTACGTAATCTTTTGTTGCAAAACAAACAACTACTGTAATCACTTTTTTTTTTGTTGCTTTGCCTTTACCACAGGGCATCACACTATAACCCAGTTTCAGTTGCACATAAGTTTACAATATGTTATTGACCTCTTCAAGGTGCAGTTATAAAAACTTTAGTCACATTTAGGATGTTTTGATGACTGCAATGAAATTTAATACTTGTATCAGCAAAGAAAGCCTGTTCAAAATATAGCGCTCACTTTATTCAGATTGTGAGGTGACAAATATTACTCCTATCCATATCCTTCAGCTGCCAAGCTGAAATATTTAGTTGGTTCTCATTATTATGGGAATTCCTCAACCTGACCTCTTCTGTATTTGTGGGGAAATGCAGCAGAAGGTTGCTAGATGGTCAGTGTTGGAGAAAAAAGGGCTGTGGTAACATTGATGCTAAGTAGAGATGTCCCAGTCTGGTCCTCAAGATCTACTATGCTCCAACTTTTAGATGCATTACTGGCTTGTTACCAGGCCTCTGTGGAAGAGAGATTTCAGATGTGTTGGAGAAAGGAAGCAGGGTAATTTCTTGAGAATTGGACATCCCTGTTGTAATGGTGTGAGTTTTTTCTTATTTTATTTTTTTTTTCTTATTTCTTTATAAATCTCTGGGCAGCTTTGATCATAACAGTCCTCTTTAAACGCAGACTCTAAGGTCCGTCCAGTTGAAGTTTCCCACTCGCCTGCTTTCTCATGCCAGGATCTCTTTATTCGAGCGGTTTATGATGTTTGTCTCTCTTCACCTTCGCAGGTGTCATTTCCTGTAGCCCACCATGGCACCGGGGGATGTGGTGCCAGAGCATGCCAAACAGCAGAAGTCCAAGGAGAAACGTCCAGGAAACAAGGCGCCAAAGTCAGAATGTGAGGCGGACGGATCATTTGTGTTTGAGGCTCACGAAGCCTGGAAGGATTTCCATAACTCTCTCAGGCATTTCTACGAAGTCGGCGAGCTGTGTGACGTCACGCTGAAGGTAGACAGGGACATGTCCTCTGTTTTCTCGCCAGCATTAAATGAAATGCGCCATGTTTTTCTGTGTCATGTATTCTGTGTTTTCTCCTTTTTATAGGTTGGCAGTAGGTTGATACCGTGTCACAAGTTAGTTCTAGCTTGTGTTATCCCCTACTTTCGGTAGGTTTAGTTTTTGTCTTACATACACAAGATATCCTTTGGCTGCTTTTCTATTTGTTTGAAACATCTGTCAGCATTTCAGTTTTCACGTGGAAACAACGAGCCTGGTCCGTTATGACGATACCACGTGTGCCACAATAAGTGGTAGTTTTTAATGAGTACAAATTTATGGGTCGGTTTGATGTTTTTGGTTGAACATGGCACCTGAAATCAGTTGCTGCTGTTGTTTTATCTCTGTATTTTCAACCTGTTGAGTCACTGTTCCACCTTGTGGTATCATGACGGTAAATAAGCAATACTAGCTGGCTACTTATGAACAACGTGCGAAATAGCAGTTGCAACTTTCTTTTTTTTTGTTGTTGAGAGGAGTTTCTTTTTTTTAATTTTAGGTAATAAAATTACACCACAAAATGAACCATTTTGGTCACAGATTAGTTGCTTTTTTTTTTTTTTTTTCCCACATCTCGCATATCAAAGTTTTAGGGCTTTGTTTCTCTCCTCAGGGCAATGTTCCTATCAGACATGTCTGAAGCCAAACAGGAGCTTATAGAGATTAAAGACTTTGATGGAGATGCCATCCAGGACCTGGTGCACTTCGCCTACTCCTCCAAACTGACTTTGACCGTCGACAACGTTCAGCCGCTGCTTTATGCCGCCTGCATCCTACAGGTAAGCGGAGAACTCCCTCTCAGTAAGCTCTTGAGTTTAACCGAATGTATGATTTTGAATTTCATGCCACAATGCGTGAATGCCCTTCTCTGCTCGTCTGTGTCAGGTTGAGTTGGTTGCCAGAGCTTGCTGTGAGTACATGAAGGCCCACTTCCACCCCACCAACTGCCTGGCAGTGCGAACCTTCGCAGAGAGCCACAACCGAGTGGACCTGATGGACATGGCTGACCGCTACGCCTGCGAGCACTTCACCGAGGTGGTGGAGTGTGAGGATTTCACATGCGTGTCGCCCCAACACCTGCGCACGCTCTTGTCCTCTTGTGACCTCAACATCCACTCAGAGACACAAGTGTACAACGCAGCTGTGAAGTGGCTGAAAGCGAACCCACAGCACCATGAAGCCTGGCTGGACCAGATCATGTCTCAGGTTAGAGGACGGAAGATTTTAGTGGTGTTTTTATGACGGAAAATGTTTATCTTGACTACAGTTACTAATAAAGGCAGGACAGTAAAGAATTTAGTTTAATTTTCTCAATTTGTATGGAAAAGGAATGAATTAAATGATTTTAGACTTTATTTCGCATGTCTAGATGTTGTCTGCTCTTCATTCTATTCAGTCATCTTTAAATTTTTTTTTTTTGGCTTACTAGTGTCCTTTCTTATCCGTTCTTTCCCTTATCGTGTTTCCTTCTGTCCTTGTGTCTCAACACTTTTCTTTCTGGCCTTTTGTCTTGTTTTCTAGTCCAGTTCACTTTTGTTCATTCTGTGCGTCATTCCATTAAATTGCCTTCCTCCTCATCCTGTGCTAATAAATAATTTTACACATCTCCTACCTACTGTATTTATTTAATAATAATAATAATGATATATAAAATCTAGCCTTTATAGAAATATTTACCACAAATTTAGATAGATTTCTAGTACTTTAGATTTTAAACTGGAAGGAAAAGAACTAACATCTCAAAGCTTGCCTCAAGAAGTCAAGGACAATTCACCTTGAAAATCTTTATCAGCTCTACATGTAGTTTCATTTCTTGACTCAGTCGTTGGATCCACTGCTCTGTCCAGGTGCGGCTCCCGCTGCTGCCCGTGGAGTTTCTGACGGGAACCGTGGCAAAAGAGGAGATGATCAAGGGGAACCTGGACTGCCGTGACCTGATGGATGAGGCCAGGAACTACCACCTCCACCTGAGCAACAAGGTGGTTCTGGACTTCGAGTATTCTGCCCGTACCGTCCCACGGAGGCACACCGCAGGTACCGCTGTCACGGCAACACTCAGTAATTTCTGCCGGGCTAAAAAGACACAGCCACACACGAGAAACGAACCGGGTTTCTTTATGCCTGTGCAACAAATTCAAGGCCATACCTATAGCGCCTTTAAAAGTTTGATGAATTAAATGTTCTTCTCAGTTTGAAATTTTGGTTTTTTTTGCATATAAAATCTGAAAAGTGTGGCTTGTAATTGCCTTCAAACGTCACTTATTATTTAGGTGGCTTCTGAAGGTAATTTGTTGGACTGAATTTTATTTAAGAATATCAGAGTTTTGTAGATTTTGAAAAGCTCATCAAAGGTTATAATCGTAATGTGACTCGAAAATTTTGTGTTCGTCTTCAAGCTCAAAACTATCGGTTATTTCTGTTTGTTGACATTCGTCTCCTTGTCTAGGGGTTCTGTTCTGCGTCGGGGGACGGGGAGGTTCTGGAGACCCATTTCGCAGCATCGAATGCTACTCCATTACTAAAAACAGCTGGTTCTTTGGCCCTGAAATGAACAGCAGACGCCGTCACGTGGGTGTGATATCTGTCGGAGGTGAGAAGAGATTCTTGTTCCAATGTTTCAGAAAATAAAGCAAAACATGATAAACATTATGTAGCTCATACAATACGGAACTCGGTATTGATAAAGTATTTGTCACAAATTGGAAGAACTCCCATTGATGTTACTTTCTTGCCTGTTTGTTGTGAAGTTCCTCCTGCATGTTGGGTGTTTCTTTCCTACCACAGGTAAAGTGTATGCCGTCGGCGGCCATGATGGCAACGAACATCTGGGGAATATGGAGATGTTTGATCCGCTCACCAACAAGTGGATGATGAAAGCCTCCATGAATACCAAAAGGTACACACACAACCTGACGCATCCCAGAGCGCCGTTTCATTCATTTCCATTTGTTTAACTTAAACGCTCCCTTTTTTTTTTTCAGGAGGGGAATAGCACTGGCAGCTCTCGGCGGTCCCATATACGCCATCGGAGGTCTCGATGACAACTCCTGCTTCAACGACGTAGAACGTTACGACATCGAAAACGACAGCTGGAGCGCCGTGGCTCCGATGAACACGCCCAGAGGAGGAGTTGGATCTGTGGCTTTGGGGGTAAAAGCACGAGGGAGAAAAAAAAATCAATCATTTTTTCTGTTTGTTAGATGATTTGATTCTCAGCACGTTGTTTATTTTCTGTAGAACTATGTGTACGCAGTGGGAGGAAATGATGGCGTGGCGTCACTTTCCAGTGTGGAGCGGTTCAATCCCCACCTCAACAAGTGGACGGAGGTGTGCGAGATGGGCCAGCGGCGCGCCGGGAATGGCGTCAGCAAACTCAACGGCTGCCTCTACGTTGTCGGTGAGAGAAGCACGGCGTCTCTTCGATTCTTGTCGGGGTTATGTAACGTCGCTTGCAGCTGTAAACAGCATGTCTTGAGAAATGCAGCTGAGATGTACAGAAAGTTCCCCCGTTTTGATGCACACTCATCACATGCTTTCAAAGGCTTGAATTGAGACAAAAGTTCATGTTTTGTAAAGCTGTTTTGGTCACTTATTCACAGGCTGGGTTTTTTTATTGCAGAGGTTGAAGTTGAAGAGTTTCTTCAGCATTTATGGTGTTAGATTGCAAAGTTAATTACAATGTTATTTTGCTCAGATTCGTACATCAGTTTCGCACATAACTGTTTATGTTATATACACACTCGTTCTACATGAGGGCAACCATCTTTTAATAAATGTATCTTTTCCGGTGACGTTTCTAAGGTGGCTTTGACGACAACTCCCCCCTGAGCTCCGTGGAGCGCTTTGACCCCCGGATGCACCGCTGGGAGTACGTGGCAGAGCTCACCACCCCGCGCGGTGGAGTCGGGGTCGCCACCGTGATGGGCCGAGTGTTTGCAGTCGGGGGGCACAACGGGAACATTTACCTGAACACGGTGGAGGCTTTTGAGCCGAGGATGAACAGGTGAGGAGAGAACATCGCTGCAGCATCCAGAGAGACGTTCTGGATGCTGCAGTATCTGTTTTTCTTTTTTTTATTTAATTTTTCCCCCCAACAAAAGTTTGTGTAAGATGAAGATTTGTGAAAAACATGTCTGATTCGACACTAACAGCTGAAGTCTCCAATAAGCAGAATGTTTGGAGCAGTTTGGTTGACTGCGTGGCTTAGGCGTGTTTCCTCTCCGATCAGGTGGCTTTTTAATAATTTAGCTTGCTACATATTTCAATGTGCTTCACAAACTTAGCCCTTTGCTTAGATGGTCAAAAAAATGTTTCAGCTTCTCTCAAAGCACAGCATGTGATGTAACAGATGGGTTCAGGAAGACAATTGTTTGCAAAGCAAGTGAAATCCGAAGTATGTCAAGTTATGATCTGTTTACATTAAAACAGGGCAGGACATTATCCTTTTGAAATTTTACTGAGTATATAAAGTGATTTTTTTATTGTCAAAATTATTTTGAGAATCGTATTGTCCTTAAGTGTTTTCTGAGTTTTATTCTTTTTTTTTTTTGACCTCACGTGGATTTGTTCAGCTGCAGACTTTTAACCGGCTCTATAAATTTCATTTTAATTTCAGATGGGAGCTGGTGGGCTCCGTGTCCCACTGCCGAGCCGGAGCCGGAGTGGCCGTGTGCTTGTGTCACGTCAGCCAGATCAGGGACGTCGGCCAGGGCTCCAGCAACGTGGTCAACTGCATGTGACGACCGCCCCGCGTTTGACAAGGTGACCGACCGCAGCGTCACCGTCAGATCCAATCGCAGCACAAAGCACACGGCGAGCGAAGCTACTACTCGCCTTCACACCGAAGGCCGATGTTCGGTCAGCACACCGTATCCGAGGATGATTAGGGAAAAATAACAGACTTGAATTAAAAAAAAATATATATATATATAGATATATAGATATAGATATATACATATATCTATATATCTATATATATATAGATTTTTTTTTTTTTTCACAGACAATTTTATGTCTCTAAACTTCTGGTGGTATTTGCAATCTTTAATGAAGTATTTTGTACTTATTTTTTTGTTTGTTTGAGTGGATATTATTTACTGAGCTCTTATTTAAAGGAAGGATTAACGGAGTTGGTTGCTGACCAGAGGATTAATGTATTCAGAATAAAGACTGCAACAAGGGCCAGTATGAAAGGATTTAAAGTTCTCTGAGAAGACGGCCGCTACTTTGCTGCATTTGCTCCGTTTGTCCGGATTCGATGTGACTGATCAGTATCTTACTGGCTCGTTTTTATCAGTTAGGATGTGAAGTTGCTTTCCTTTACTCTCACTCCCAAGTTTTTGTCCCAGCATTTTCAATTTTTTTCACGTTCTCTCTAGTTTTAAGCTGAACCAGCCGACATTTATCCTTTGACTTATCCGATAAGGAACAGTGCCGGTCAGCGAAGCCTAGAAACAAATCAGTCCTCGCTTTCAGGACCTTTTAACGCTCGGGGACTCACACTCCTGCAAGTGCCAAACAGAACAAGCACTGACAAATCCAGTTGAAATCTGCTGAATTAATATTGCTTCTCCATTGCTGACAGAGGCGCCGTAAAGAGATCAGAGCAATACGTTTCACCGCTTCAGTTCGACAATATTTCCCTTAAAATTTGAGATTTGTGAATGATGATAGCTGGACTGTCAGAAATCCTAATCGTTTTTGATGTTTTAGACGTGTACGCTGTTCAGACGAGTTTTGTATCTGGAAAACGGTTCCATTATATTTCAATATACATATAAACATTTAATCGAACATTTCCTAACTGTGTAATCCATTGCTGTTCTCTATTTTCCTAGAATAGACGTGAGGTCTGAATATATTTTTGTCCAAATTAGGAAATTTCATGTTATATGTTCATACAAGTATGTCAGTTTAGCCATATGCTAACTTCTGTTAGCATATGGAACTGTTAGTTCTGCCATATGGAAGATTTCAAATATTTATAACCTTTGGCAGAATTTTCATAATAGGACTACAAATGACTCTTTCAGATATGCTGTTTGTACAAGATAAAAATACAAAGTGTTGCACAAATCTTGTGTTAAATTTAACAATCATTTTTCTAGCAAACTTGAAGCCAGTTTTGTGTTTTTAAATGTTAATGTGTGAAATGTGAGGTGTTTGACAATATTGTGCTTTATGAACATAGTGTTGGAATGAAATTATTAAATAAAGTTGTTTGAATATTATTTAATGGGGTCCGAGTTTTCTTTTCTCAGTCTAACTTGCAGTAGTTGTTGGCCATATGCCAGGAATATTTCATAGTGTTTTTTTGTTTTTGTTTGTTTTTAAACTATAAAATGTACTAAAATTTCCCAATAAGATATATATATTTTTTTACAAATAATAATAATAATAATAATAATTAAAAAACATAGTTCTGGTTATTTTCTCAGACATTCATCAGGGACTTAAACATGACTTAAAAATTTTCAATGTGGATGAAAGAATTTGAATGAACTTTAAAATTAAGAATTAGGTGCACACATTTGATGCAAGTTTTCTCTAATCCACACAGGTTTGAAAATGAAACAGGCTTAAATGATACACAGGCTGGCCCTCAGTTAAGCGGCTCTTAGAAGTTATAGAGGAGCCGTGATGCTCTTCTCGCTGTTTTGTGATCTTAACCCCACTGAGAATTTTTTTTTTTTTTAAATGTACACGGTTTGTTCCAGGAAGTTAGCAAATTTAAATTAGCTCTCCGATTAAGTATCCAGCAAAAGTTATACCACGGGACCTTGCTTGTATATAGTTGTCAGGCTTTTGAATTACAAAAGACACATCATTCAGTGAGTGCTGTCTCTTTGTACAAAAACTGAAAGGAGAAAAATAAATTAGAGACCTGTGTTTTCCGGAAAAGTTCCTCGCTAATAAATTACTAGGCACTTCATCCATGTGAAGTTGTATGAAGAAGAACAAATTACATTTTCATTTTAAATGTTTTGCAGCATTTTATGAAGCCTTGTTAAAAAGTAACAGGTGGAAGCCGATCAGAGCAGTTTAAGTTAATTGGTGTCTGACATGCGGTGGCTTCTGGACTTTTGGGTCATCCTGTCAAAAGTATTATGTTTATTCCTGCAATCATCCTGTAATTACATTATGTAATGTGTTTTTTTAATTTTTTTTTTTTTTATTATTTGTTTGCATACAACAAAGGCTTGGGAGTTTTGAGGAAAAAGACTTAGCTGTATTTTACTTCCTGTAGGTTTAAAGTTCCATTTGCAATTTTCTGAAAGAACCATCTGTTGCTCTAATCGAGTTACTTTCTGTCAGCTTTTATCAATTTGCAACAAGGGTGGGCAGAACTGTTTTGGTGAGGTAAGTGTACATTATTCTTCAAAAGTAAGTTTATTTGTAAATGAAACATCAAGTAACACAGAGGAAAGAAGAATATTAAGAAATAAACACAAATTGTTTTATTTCACGTATTAAGTTATTTTTCTTATTCTTTCTTGCTGATTCATGAATTCTAAGGAATTTGTTTGTAGAACAAAATCCATTCTTGGAATTTCAAATCAGGCCATCCTTAATTTGTGAAGTCATGACAGTATGCCTTTGCACACTGCCTTGTTTTTTCGTCTCTGCTTTATTGCTTTCAGTCTTTGGACTCTGGACAAACGCTGAAAAGAGGAGAACTAAAGAGAAGATGCTCAGAAGTCTGAACACTTAGAGATCCAGCACAACACACACTGATGAGCTCAGGAAGGCTAAAAAAAACAACAACTCAATACTAGGATGTACAGGGAATCACCTTGAAAGCCAAACACAAGAAATTAAACAATGGACGGAAGTATTCTTCTGAAGCTGCTCGTATTTGCTTCGTTTCTTGCTTGTGGTGAGTGTATATATATATATATATATATATTCATTTCTTTTATAAAATGTGTGAATATATTTAGTTGTTTGAAGTTTTGAATCTGATTCAGTAACTTTCTCAAAACCATACAAATGGAAACAGATTCAGTTGGATCATTTATGTCTGTTTCTGCAGGTTACAAAAATGACAAAAAAGAAAATGAAACACATAAGTAACTGTAATTTGAATAAAGGATATATATTTTTAAATTTTTTTTATATTACAAGAGCAACTTAGTTTATTTCAATTTTTTTCACATAAAATTTTCTCTTTTTTTGTGGCGCATTGTAAATTTTCTCTGATAAAATGTCTTACATGAATGCCTTCTCTTCGATTATTATTCAGAGGGAAATGGTTTCATTCTAAGGAACACAGTTGTTAAATATTTTAGCTTTTATGTGCCTGCAGTGGCGTAGCGCTTAGCTCTGTTGCCTTGCAGCATCTGAGTGGATTCCAAATCCAGCGTTTCTGTTCGGAGTTTCTATGTCTTCCCTGTACATGTGTGTAATCTCTCTGGATACTCCGGCTCCAGAGAGTATCCACACCCCAAAAACATGCATGTTAGCTTAATAAGCCACTCTGAAGTGCTCTTAGATGTGTTTGTGTTACAACTTGTCTAGTATGTGGAATCACTTGAGACATTGACCGTCATGAGGAGTAATTAAAGAAAATTAACGGCTTTTATTGTTCTATAATTTGTACGCAAAACACGAAAAAAAACAAAAACAAGTCATTGTCTCACGATGATAGCCAAAGTAAATGGTCAACAGTAGACTAAAGAAAAAATAAAAATAAATAACTTCTATGAGGTGACTATTTCTATTTTCCTAGGTGGCCTTTCAACCAGTTAAAGTTCTGTGCAAAACATGTGATTCTACTATATTGTCTGTAAATTTGTCAAACATTCACCTAAAGATCTGTGTGGGAATCCAAAGTTGGCTGACAGAGTCTGTAAATGCCAACCGGTCATGAGACTTTTACGACTGATGAGCATTAAAATGATTTACTGGCTTTCTAAAAACTACGATGTGCAGCATGTAGAATAATCAGAGTATTTAGTGAACATTGTTTAAGCCGACCTGTTGGAACGACAGACCTAAAGTTCAAAGGTCAGCAACCTGCGGCTGCAGAGCCACTCTTTTAGGCTCTTAAAAACATTGCTGAAAATTATTGGAAGAGACCAGTGTTTGAAAATAAAGAGAATAGGAAAGACTAGTTTTATTTATATATTTTTTTAAAATCTGGTTTTAAGCAATATCTTTTAACTTTTGACAATATAACAAAAATTACTCTATGTAATTACAGAAAAAAAAGGGAGAATGGAAATGTTTACATTTTCTTCTCATTAAATCTGAAAATCCCAAAGTAAGTTTCTGTAAACAGATAACCTAGGTATTTACTTCCACCTGGGACAAGGGTTACAATAATGTCAAATGTTTCTTGCCTTACTTATACCCTTAAGTTAGGGTATAGCAGTCTAGGATATGTTTCATGGATTAATGAAGACATTGTGACCTCCTCTTTGACTTTTAGGCCATGTGTTATCGACGGGCGGCTCTTTGATGCCACCCTGGCAGAGCACCTTCTTATTATTCACCGTTCCACCTGAAATCACCCAGTCAAACATAAGTTGACAATTGTTTTATCTATATTTTAAATCTGTAGCTCGTGCACTTTCAAGTGTAACATTGCTCTGGGCCGGTGTAAAGTGTTGCAATCGAGTGCAGAAAAAAATTCTTGAACAAAAAAGAAGAAACTTTGATACCAGAAAAAGATGTAAGTCTAAACATGACAGGATGACACTTGAATACAGGAGCTAAGTTGCTGATTGAGTAAAAAAAAATAAATTCCAATGTCTTATTAAAAGGACTATAAGGAAATAAGTTCCATCACTGCAATGGTTTTCCTTGCTTCTAATTTCAACAAGTTATTTTTTAACATTTTAACTTTATATGCATTCAACAGCATGTCTTTACTGGTTTACTGATACTTACAAGGATTTTATTAATCAAAAGAGTGA